CATCCGAATATTAAACGAATACCAGATGAAATTCGAAAACGTTTAAATGATATGATATTATTTTGTAAAAAATTTCATAATGATTATACATTACTTGAACAATTATTTGGTCAAACAATGAATTATAAATTTTATAATAAAATGAAAGAAATATTAAAAACAAAAAATTTCATAAGCAGAAAACAATCATTAACAGCTATTGTACAAATGCATAAACATTTTTCTAAAATATCACGTTTAAATACATATAATTTTTTATCTGATTATGAATTAGATAAAATTCTTCAAAATATTCAAATAAAATGTTTTAAACAACAAAAATATATTGAAGAAGTTATAAAACATATGACTGAATTAGGATATTTACAAGTAAAATTTTAATTTTAATTTTTTATTTCAAATATTCAAATTAAAATCTTTATAATAGGATAAATCTTTTGTTAATTATTTAACACAATATTTTCTATCTAATGAATTTCCATCTTTAACTATAGAAAAATGTAATGAAATTCAAAGTAAACTTCAAACATGGCCATTTAATTTAGATCTTAATCATCCTAATGTTCGACAAATAATCGAACATTTAATACAACTTGAACAACAGGATAAAATTGATACAGGTACATTAATTGAAATACAAAATAGACTTAATCAATTAGCTCGTTATGGTAAATGTTCTTTACCACAAATTCAACTTATTATTGATGAAATTTATAAATATAACGGTAAATGATTTATTAAATAATAATTAATAAAAAAGAGAATTAATATTAATTTGTTTCATATAAAGGTAAAACATATTTATCTGATAAGGATGGTTTTCAATTAATTCAATATTATCGTTTAATATTAAATGATATTACTCATGCAATTGAATTTGAATTTTATATTCAACAACTTACATCCGAATATAAAATATCGGATAATTTAAATTATCGTTTTCGTCATTTTTTATATCGAATTTTACAAAATGAATTATCAATCGATGAACTTATTCGTTATCGATTTGAATTAGAAAAATTTCATTATATAAAACAAATAAATATTGATCAAGTTAAGAAATTTATTGATTTATTACCACAAGAATTCAATGATTTATATCCATTAACTTTAACTGATAAATTATTAGAACGACTTAAATGGGATGGAAAAATATTTGATAAATCAATTCGAGATCAATTATTAAAAGTATGAAATCGAGAAACAGTTCTCTCTTCCATTTTTTTTTAATTTTCTTTTACAGCTGTAGACCTTACCAAAAATAGTATAGATGAACCTTTAAAAAAACAAAATGGTTCTCTCTAATCAAAAGACTCATTTGAATTATTCGAGAATATAACTTGCTTTTGAAAGTTCATCTCAATGAAACTTGCAAAAAACCTATAACGATTTTAATGTTTGGAAACAGAATAGAAATTGTAATCAATTATAAATATAGAGATGGGATAGGTACCAATTCGAACTTTAGACTAACAGATCGGACCTGTGTACTGGCGGATCCGGTTTCGCCTGACCTGTTCAGACCGACTCTACTTTTGATAATGATACCTAGTACAATGTATCAATATTTCATTGTACTGTTGGTTTTTAATGAGTAGTTGCATATTTAATATTTTTCAAGGAGTCGTTCTGATTTCCGAAATGCATGATATATGCTAGTAATTTACATGAGTCCATTATAAGATAAATTTTCATTATATAAACTCGTCAGTTGTCGATAGGTCGGTCTTTGTCGGTCAGATCAGTTTCATCTCTGTATAGATGCTTTCCTGCTTTCTCTCATCACTGCATGAAAACTCAAGGGAAATTGTATGAAACAGAATAAACCAAACAAAAACAATTTTCAAATTTCAATAATAAAAATCACAAAATTCTGGAAAATCTGTCGAGAAAAGGAATTTACTAACTGGTGAACCATAATGAATCGAAGTAAACGGCAATGCAATATTCCTCTCATTTCAACTCATTCATATATCAAAACATAGGGAATTTCAAACTTTACTAAACTAAGAGCTTCACTTTTAAAAAGAAGATTTCGCCTTACGACGACAATTCAAACATTTATGTATCGTGTATATTCTCACTGTGACACATTGCTGCTCGTATTCTATAAAAGTCTGGAGGATCCTGACAGAATGAAATTTTATATCAGATGTAAATGATGTTTTGATTTTTTTTCATTTATTATGTCCTACATGAAACTTTTCATCAAGAATGTTTTCGTCTTTTTTTTTAAGAAACCTAATAAATTTTTCATTAGCGATGTCACACTTTTTTTTCGCTTAGTTCCTCAGTAGTGATATAGAATGCATCTGAATGTGTTGGTTGTTTCGAAATTAAAAAGTAGTTCTTTATAAAATTGTAGTACATAGTTTTATCGAGTTTTCAATATTTTCTTAAGACCAAACATTGCAAATATAAAATAAGAGAAAACGATTGTAATTTAACAGAATCATTTTGAATCTACATTTGATTTTTCTTTTTCATTTAGTCTGAACGTTGTGGTACTTTATCACAAGATAATTTTGAAGAAATTTATAATAATCTTTATCATACATCAAATCTTTCTCTTCTTTCATTACAACAAACTAATAATAATCAACTTCTCATTGATCTGTTCGATAAAATAAATGATTTACTTCATGATGGTTTAATTGATTTACAAAAATCTATTGAAATAAAAGAACAAATTTATTTTCTTGAAGATATTGTTGATTTAACAGATTTATCACAAATAATTACGTTTGAATCACGTCTTTTAAATTCATCAAATCAAAATGAATTTTCAATGATTTATGAAGAATTAAAAACTTTTGTTTATCAAGAACAATTTCGTTTATCTAAAGCACAAGATTTGATTTCTACTTGGCATTTAAACGACGAACAAGGAAATCCTAATAAAAAACAAATCATTAAACTATTTCATGAACTTGCCAATCTTAATCGATTCTATAGTAAATACCAATTATTTATAATACAGTACTGGTCAAAAATATCAGTTCAACATATTTTTCCTTTTTTTTCCTACAATATCAAACATTTAATTCAAATCCAAATAGTCATTTTGAATAATCAATGCGTTTCTCTATTAAATGCATCGATGGACTATGAGAAGAGGTTTCTGAAAAACCAAATACAATAGTTTTTAGGTTCTAGCAGACTGTATGAAAATTAGTTTTTAAGAGTTCCATCTGGAAGAGCACAAAATTCTGAATAAAACAAGGGTTCTCGCATTTCATGTGACCTTTCCTTGAAAAATTATAAGCGTCATAAAAAACAAATGAAGCGTTTAGCCGATATTATGTAACTTATAACTTTTTAAGAGAAAGTCGTAGGAAATACAACAACTTCTCGTTTTATTCAGAACTTTGTGCTCTTTAAAGCCGGTACTGTAAAAGAAAAACTAATTTTCATACAGTTTTCTAGAATCTAAAAACTATCGCATTTGCTTTTTTCAGAAATCTTCTCATAGTAGATTGATGAAATTTTGGTATCGAATGCATTAGGTAAAGAAATTCATTAGCCATTCAAATCACTATTTCGGTTTGTGTTAAATGCTTGGTATCATAGAAAAAGAAGTCAAAAACACTTTGATCTTATATTTATAACTATCATTGTAATCTAGTTCGTATTTAGATAAGTCTACTGTATCATTATTGAATCGATACATTGAAATGAAACAAATAAATCAAGGTGTTTATCGACATTTAATGAAAAGTTTACAATGTTTAAAAGACCATGCACTAATCGATAAACAAGCAATAGAATGTATTCGTTCAATCGAAATTCAAATATATAAATTTGATTATAGAAAACGATTTGATGAAACATTAATTAAAAAATTAGAAAATAAATTAAAACATATATTTACTGTTCTATCTCATTCATTTGAACAACATTTACGTATTGATATTTGTAAAAAATTAAATGAATTAATTGAAATTTATGTTAAATCAGATTCAAATGAAAATTCATCTGATGAATTTTTAAATACATTTGATTCTTATATTTCACAATTTAAACAAAGTCAATCAAGACCTTCAAGAACTCGTTATCATTATGCTTCATCCGACGCAATCCTTCCAACAACATCATCTTTACAATCTTTACAACATATCTCGTAAACAAATCAGTTATGAGAACAAAAAAAAAAGACATACTCAAATTCATTAATTGTAATATATATACATATATCGACTATTGATATCTTTTAATATTAATGGTAACTACAGTATTCAAATATTTTTCATCAAATTATTTTTTTCAATACATAAAATTATATTATTATTTCGAAAAAAAAAAAACTTTGATAAATCGTGTGTCTACATGTCACAAAACAAGATTAAGTTTCAATCACCTTTTTTACATGTTCTCATAAGACGATCATTTTTTGATAAATTACAAGACAATAAAGCAATAGAAAATGATATTCACGATAAAAACCTACAAAAGAATTCTTTTCATCATTTTCCACCTAAATCAACTTTACTTCATCAAACATTTCCTATACTTCAAAATGAAAATGATATTTCATTGCTTAATAATAAACAACTTCAAGGAAAAGCAAAATCAACCATAAATCATTCTTTAGAAAAGTTCACAAAAAATCAAGACATTAATATATCAATAGATAAAAAACAAAATTCATCCTTATTAATTAAACAACAAGATTTCAACAAGATTGATCACACTTATTACGTTTTTGATGAAGTCAGTCATCAGATTTATGTATATGTTAATATTCAAATTTACAGTGAAGATGTTTCTGTTATTAATTAATAAAGACCGCATACATTCGGATCAAATTAAAGTTTTCGCTGCCAAACTAACAAATCTAAAATATAAACTGTCTTTGCCGTGTATGGATCGAGATATTCGATTGTGATAGTTGGATAGAGCTCATCGAGTTGCATTAGAAAAAGTATCGTTCAAACTAAACAACTTTTTTCTTTTTACAGAAGTCAGAATTATGAATCTGTATTCTCGTATATTTGAAAATGATTGTATCTTAGATGTTTCTCATGAAACGTTATTTTTAATTTGATGCATACTTTTTCTTATGCGACTCAATAAGCTCCGTTTAATTATCACAGAAAGCTATGCTAAAATTTTGAACTATGAACATCTCGCATATACTGTAGATACCTTAAAATTCAAATATCTCGGTCTGTGTGTGTCAAAGGCAGTCTATATTTAAAATTTGTTAGTTTGGTAGCGAAAGCTTAAATTTGATCCGAATACATCTAGTCTTATTAATTAATAACAGCAACACCTTTATTACTGGATTAAGTCCAATGTCAGATTGAGAAGAAACTTTATGTTGACATTCGCATTAGTGTGTAGATCGAAGTCTCATTTGAATTCCTATTGGTAAGTTTCTAATGAAGCATTCGTATTAAGTAAAGATCGAGCAATTATGGACGGTTTTTCTTTAAAGCTGATTTTATGTACTTAATCCGAATCCAGTATCGATCTACAGAATAATTAACATAAATTTTTAATTAATATAACATTGAATGTAATCTCAGTTTAAACACTACGATATACATACAAAAAAAAGTTTAGATAATTCACAAATTGTTGTAAAAAAAATTAAAAAAAAAATTTTATATGAAAAGATATATATTCTTTATTTAAGTATAATTCATTATATCCTATGGATGTACCCGTCAAGTATGGCTTTCAAATGCGTTCATTGATTGAAAATAACCATTTACCATTGTGGCGATTCAGTAATCAAGATAAAAACCAACTTATCTTTAATCTCGTATGTTATCCATTTGTTTTTTTTCATCAAAGTAAAAACAAACTTCTGATTCAATGCCTATTATGACATATTTAGTCAATCAATCAAAATCTTCCAAATGATACTAGTCCATCTTTCATTTTACCTACATCATCAAAACAAACCAAAGTTTCTACGTCGAATAGTGTTATGCAAAATTCTCCTTCGCTTATTACTTCTCATATACAACGTTGTGGGATTAATTCATTGCTAAATAATAGCCAGTCAGAAGGACATAATAAACAACTGCCAACAACTGTTTATCAATCTAATCATCCGTCATCAATTCCAATCAGGCTTGTCTCTTGTAATATTTCACAATATAAACGACAAACTCAACAACAATATGAAATAACAAAACGACCAAAATGTATTAAATTTGAAGAATATTTCGAAGAATATTATCTACCAAAATGGTGTTTAACTTATACAAGTGAATTTAAACATCAGAAAAATAAATATTGAAATTTAAGAAAAAGAAAAATCTAAATATTATCTTCTACTAAAAAAAAAGAAATAAAAAAAACAAACTGTTGTTACTATAATAATTATTATTATATGTCAAGCATAGAAAAACTTCATTTAATTGCAAATTTGCCATTTTTAGTTTCAATTATTGATTGAATCTTATAATTAGAATAAATGACTATTAAAGAATGAAAACAAAAATATCTACAATCAAATTGATTGATTTCTTCATATAATGAATTTTCTGTGTTGTTTCTTCTGACTGTTAGACATTGAATGATAACTTGTATCAATATGCATAAAAATGTAGTGTACCGTGTAATTGTATATGCCGTTTTCTTCTTACAACATTATCAATCTTTCTCTAGTTGACCTTCAGAAAAGTAGTGCTTACTTGCTTGCATGCTTTGTCTAACAGGCATACACTTGTTTGTTTCGTTAGTTCTTTACTTAGCAGCTGTAAGCGCTAATAGGATATGCAATGATGATGTTGATGGCCAAGTCAAGAATAATAACAGCTAACAATCAATAGCAACATCAACTTGTCTTAAGACAAGAATCTTCTAAATATTACTTATGGTTGATTATTTGACATTATTACCCATACTTGTTCTATTCAATGTATTAAATTAATACAACACAAGTAAAAAAAAAATCAAAATTCTATATTAAAATTGATAAGTCTCATTTTTCAATAAGCGACATCGCACCTGTTCGATCGTTCTTCTTTTCAATATAACAGAGAGAAAAAAAATAAGGAGAAACTTTTTTTTGTCAGTTCTTTTTGTTCTCATCTTTCTCTTCTATCGTATTGATCAAACACATATATAAAAAGAAATAGTCAGTACCGTGCCAATCCATTGCAACGATCCGTATAGTATAGATTTACAATAAAAACAATAAAACCGCATGATGTCTCGATTTAAATCTTATATCAATCCAACATGTTTCAATACGAATCAAAATGAACACAATACATCAAATGTTTCAACAACATTACCCCCATTACGACATATAACACAAGTAAGAAGTTATGTAAATATTTTTTTTTCTATTGTTTTCTTTGTATATGAACATGAAGATTACAATTGGAGCTAATGAAGATAATGATAAACCACCTATACCGCCAACACGTCATCCAATGGTTAATCGTTTAACATCAAGTATAGATGAATCTCTTGTTAATTTAACATTACTTTCACAAGATGCTGAAATTGAACGAGAAAGAACTTTATTTGAACTTCAACAAATATTTATTCAATTTCGTACATATGTTGAAAAATATTATCATCAATATGAATATGAAATAAAAACATCATATGCTAATTATGATCAACATTTATATGAACTTAAATTAAGATTAAAACAAGTACGACAACAACTTATACAAAGTTTTAATTCATTTCCCAATAATGATAATGATAATGATGATTATTCATTTGATATTAATAAATATCGTTATTTAGAAATGCTTACAACAAAAACACTTAATCAAACAATGGATGAACAAAAATTATTACCAAAATATCGAATAAAACTAAATAATCTTGATCGTTTAGATGAAATTTTTTCTATTCAATGTGAACAAAACTCAGCGAAAATAATGTCTCAAATAGATCATCATGATTTATCCAGAGAAGCTACACCAACACAAAGAAGCATGTCAATTGGTTAGTATCATTCAAGAACAACAACGAGAGAGAACCGTCTTGAAAATACAACCTATTAAATGAATCTTGATCAAGTCTAACAAGATTCGTTCTCGTTAGATTTTCATTCAAGTTTACTATTGTTTTATGAGAATTATCAGAAAAAAATTAAATTATAGAATTTACTGATAGATCGAGAGTTTTGAGAAAACAGAGTGATCATGGTCTTAAAATATGTTTTGAAGTCCATAAGTGATCATGTCGGGTCGTTTTTACGCGTTTTCGGTTGAGAAAAATCGAGAAATAATTCGGAAGAGAGGGCTAATTATTCTAGGTTCCCTACTCACAAAATTCCGTAGTTCATCATATTGCTTTTATAACATCTTCTAATTTTGATAATTTCGGAAGAAGATGACAGGTATGTTTCATTTCCGACATTCTCAATTTTAATCATTAGTTACGAAGTGATTGCGACGGTTTTCTCAAACGTAAACAAAAAGCAAGAATATTAATTCAACAAAACTAATTTTTTTCTGATTTTCATATATATATAGAAACATCAACATCAACAAATATAACAGATGAATATGATAATGTTCCAAAAGAATATTATGGTCATTATCGTGTATCCTATCAAGATACATTAAGAAGTCCAGTAAAAAATCTTCAAAAATGGAGTTATCCACTTCATGCCGGTAATTATTTTATTCCACTTCTTACACCATATCGTCAAAGTTCTCTTGTATTATATTGTCTTAATCGTGAATCATTTATTTGTTATAATTCTCAATCATTATTATCATTACCAACAATAATTAAATGGCGTGGTACACGTCCATCAGCTGTTTATTGGTTTGATGAAATGAATATGTTATTTATTGCTTGTTGTACACATATATATGGTTGTTATTTAGATGAAGATATTCAAGAAAATCAACGAATACATATTCGCATACCGATTGAACAAACATCAACATGGTCCGATACACAAGGCCAATTATGCTGGCCGAAATTTTTAACATGTGGTAGTGCAGTTAATCATTTACTTTATGCATATTGGACAGAAATGTTAAATAAAGATGCACCACCATCAACATCATTTATTTATTATCAAATTGAAGGCAATGATCATTTAATAAAATCTCGTTTTTTACTTGAAGGTCGTTTACGTGCACTTCATTCAACATTATCAACACGTCGTCTTGGACTATTAATTGAACAGTTACCAAATCAATGTACTTATTTGGAAATTCGCACATTAGAAGAATTTTCTCTATTATCTAGATTTGAATTACGTACAACATTTGAAAAATTTCGTTATGGTTGTTGTTTAACAAATATATCTAATTCAAATTCATATATATTATGTGATCATAAAAAAAACCAATTATGGTATATTAATGGAGATACAGGAGATATTAAAGTTAAATGTATAAATGAATCGGTTTATAGTATTATCAGTTTATTAGATGGTACATTAACTATTTTATTAGGTTCACCAATGAGATTTGATTTTACTTATGATCCGAATGATAGTGGATTTATTGTAAAAGATCTTTTTCATGAAGAAGATTCGTTTGAAGTGTAACAAAAAAAAATAAAATAAAAAATAAAAAAAAAATTATCAAATTTTTATATTGTTTTGTTTTTTATAGAAAAAGAAAAATGAATGTTTGAATGCTTTTGTGCGTCATGTATTATTTTACAGTTGTCAATAAACTGAATAACAGTGCAATTGTAGATCTATAAAAATTAATATTATTGATTTGTTAAGTACTCTTGAACATATTTTAAAATATTTGCTTAACTAGGGCATTACAATTAATCAATATCATAGTATATTCACTATCAATATGTTAATTCAAGTGATACGAAGTCAATTATTATAGTGAAAAGTGCAAAAGAAATTTGAGTCTTCATAGTTTTGTGGTGTCAACATAAAATCTAAAGTAATTCGACAAAGAAATTATCTAATCTCAAGAAGATTTTTTTAAAACATTTTGTCTTCTATCGTATTTAACAAATCTATTCTTGGACGAATTGTAACATTAGTTTACTACAGTATGATGTTTCTGTGTTTAGTTCAATCCCAAATGATTGTTTTTAATATCGTTAAAATACAAGTATTCTCTGTAAAGTTTTATCTAGTAGAAAATAGTATCAGATCGAATTTTAATCTTTTACTCCCAAATATTCACTGATTGAACAACGTGATTCACAACTACCTCTATATTGGTACTTGATAAACTATCGATAGACAAAAAGTTTATTTTGTTTCATTGCTCTGTCTTTGAAAAGTCAGATCTAGAGAACCGATAAGTTTGAAAAAATAAATTGTTTTCATAGAAGCCTTTCCATCTGTAGACAAAATATGTCTCCAAGATATGTCATGTGATATATTTATCAATGAAAATGTTTACTGGGAAACCGAATGCGTTTCATAAGGTTGCCGATAGCTTAGCAGATAAGAAATACTTAATCATGAAATGGATCGCGCATTAATCATCGGAAAATAACAGGAGGAATGACATAAATCATAAATATGTTTTTGTAAACTTTGTCATATTACAAGTCGATCAAACTATTTATAGTTAATAAAGTGTTCTCATTAATTGTATTATTATTTATTGACTAACGAAGTTTTTGTTAAAATAACTTATCTTAAATATATCTGCTGTTAAACATATTTTGTAATATCTTCATTATCTTTATGAAATCTAAAAAAAAATTATTTTTCTTTACTAAAAACTACTATTGTGCAGGAGAAAAAATACGAATTTTCAAATCATCTTACACTCTTCTTTCTTTCTATAAAAAGGTAATATGTCTAGCCATTCTACCTATACTATTATTAGGATATGAACGCGATCAATACTTGACTTTTGTAGCTGTTTTATCAATGACTCTTCTGATACCACCATCGGTGGTACAAGATTAACTATGCATAATCAGAATTAACCTTGATCAACTAATTTTATCGTGATCTTAACTCAAAATGAAGTAGTCTTTTTATAAGTATTCTGAGACAGTCAGTTGCAAATAAAGCAAGTCAAGAGTGAGTTACACAGAGAGAGCTTGAAAATGTGAGCTCGAAATTTAGAGTTTACTTATTTGGCAGTCACTAACTAGTACTAGATTCTCTAACATTCGAAATCTGTATGTAATTCCATCGCTTGGCTTTCTGAGTATTTCTACAGAATTTCGATAAAATCCGACTATGGAATTGATTTTCTGGAATATTTTTATTCAAAACATATCATTGATAGTATTCGATGAATTTAACTACCAACTACTATTTTTTCTTCCTATTCAGGATAATTAGATTTTTAAATTTTATTTTTGCAATCTGTTCTTGTAATCAGGAAAATAACATACACAAAAAAAAGAAAGAAAGACAACAACAACGAACTACAAATACACCATTACATTTAGAGATAATATCGGCATTAGTTTTTTGTTTTTTTTTTGTCTATCGAAATGAATACATACGTTTTATCGTATTATTTACCTTAATAAGCATCACTTGAATATCGCAAAAAACGCGAAAAATACAAGATAGAAAAAAAAAGTTTAGTTTCCAAAAAGAAAAAAGAAACACTATCAAAAAAAGAATGTATGGGGAAGAATAATCATCAAGCAAGTAAGGCAAAAAAGACAATAACAACAATAATACTTCACGTTTTTTTTTGTTTCCAATTGTATAATCAAATTTTCTATACAAATTATATAAAAAATAGAATAGTATCTAAAGATCAAGATGATGTATTTTGTCGTTTTTCAGCTTCTGTCATATAATCTTGAATATGACGTTCAAAATCATCCATTGAACTATCAATTGGAATGGGCTAAAATGATTTAACAAAAAACAAAATTAATAATTAAAAATAAAACCAATAGAAAATAATAAACAAACCATTCCAGTTAAATTAAGTAACTCCGTCACTTCAGCTTGTATACGTTGAGCTGATGCACGCCAACGTGCTTCATCAGCTTTACGTTGTTCAACAATCTAAATAAATAAAGAAATCTTTTTCTTTTAGTAAATTAAAAGTTTTTTTTATTTTTATTTACTTGAGTCATTTTTTCTCGATATGATTGCATAAATAATTCAACATCAAATCGACTTAGGTCATCATAACTCATTGACGTTATTTGTTCACGTGTTAAATCCCAATCTGGTGGTAACATAAACTAGAAGAGAAAAAAAATTGTTTTTTTATCCAAAACAAATTTAATTTCATATAAAAAATTCTTTACTTTGATTAATGCTTTAAATTTTCTTACAATACTAAATAATGGTTCACTATCATTTTTAGGTGTCTCGGTAGTTGTGGATGATGGTGCTGGTGGAATAACAACATAAGACCATGCTGGTGATTTATAACTGAATGAATAATCAAACTCAGCTGTTGGAAATTCATCAAAACGCATCTTAAATATACCACGTTTATCATTTACACTTAAAACTTTTCCTGTACGTTGAGCACCTTGATACATAGCCATAACACGTGCACCAATTGTTGGTGGTGGAAGACGATCATTGATATTTGTATCATTAGTTTCCAAATTTTCATTCTTCTTATTATTAGTATTATTATTATTATCATTATCAATGGAATGAACATTATTTGTTGATGTTACTGAATCTGATGGTGTTGTTGGTTGTGGAGGTTTTTTTGATGAACGTGAAGACTAATGCAGATAAACGAATTTAATTTATTATTGCTTCAAATAAATTCAGTAGAAAAAACAAATTCTTATAATTGAAAAGATTTTATTTAGTGTAAATACTCTGTAGAATAGAACTTAATTATATAAAGATGACTTCTTTGAATAAGGCGATAAGAGATGAATTTATATTAATATTGTCTTTCAGACTTTCGTCATCTATCCTATATGATGATTAGTAAATCAACATTATGAAAAGAAAGAATATGATAAGAATTTATCATTAGAAATTAGTCAATGGAAGTTGGAGAAAAATAGAAAAGACTTTTCAAGTTGTGATTAATTTCCTTTCATCATTTGATAATAACATTACTGAAAGTCGTTTTGACAATTTGATCGAAAAAAGAAATAATCTACAGTACTCGTCAAACTAAGCACAGTAGTTTACAGATACAAGAAGACTGTGTGGATATTAGCTTTTAGAAGTACCATCTGAAAGAGCACCCGATTTTTAGTAATTTATAACTTTTTAAGGGAAGTTCGTACAAAATGCGGTGATTCTTCATTTTATTCAGAATTTTATGCTCTTCCAGATGGTACCCTTAAAAATAAATTTTCAAATAGTCTTCTAGGACTTGAAATCTATCGTATTTGGTTTTTCAGAAACTTTTCTGTCATAGCTCATCGATGTACGTAAGTCTTCTGTAAAGAATTTCTAAACAAAACAGTAAATAATTTAGTTGATTATTTTTGTCAATAGAATATTCACAGCGAAATATTTGTGGTTTTAACAACTAGAAATCTGATAGAAGTGTAGTTTTGCATAAACTGAATATAGGATTATTATTATAGTTTTAAAAAATGACGAAGACTTTTTTTCATCTTACTCGAGTAGGAGTTGGTGGTGGTGTTTTTTGGACAGGTTTTGAAGTTTTTGTTGATGTTTGACCACGTGTTCTTCTATTTATTGGTGATGATAATTCTTCCTTATCTTCTTCTTCTTCTTCGTCTTCTTTCTTTTCTTCTTCTTCTTCTTCTTCCTCTTCCTCTTCCTCTTCTTCATTTTCACTTTTAGCATCACGAGTTTTTGTTTTTGATCGTTGTGTACTAAGTGGTTTTCGTTTTTTATTTGCTTTTGATTTTGCTGATAATGAACGTGATTGTGGTATAGATCGTTTTTGTGGAGTAATTACTGCTGGAACTACATTTGAACGTGAAGATCTTGATTTTGAATTCTAAAATTTTAATTTTGATACAAAAATAAAAATGTTTAAAAGAAAATAAATAAAGACAATACTTACAGTAACAGCTGTAGTTGAAGAAATTTCTCCATTAGAAACTCGTTTATTTGTTCCTGATGATCGAGTTGTTAATGATGATAATGATGAGGATGAGGATGATGTTGGTGGTGGTGAATTTACTTTTCCTGATGTTCGATTTTGAGTATTTGTTGCTTGTGGTTTTTGTTTTAATTCGCCTTCAGGTATACTTTCAAGTTTTTCACTTGTTGAACAACTAAAACATATATATATATATTATTTTAATAATAATGGTTTTTGTTTTTATTGAATTTTATTATAAATAAATGAATATACCTATTATTCATAACATCAGTGTTATCTGAACATCGCCATGTTTCAAGTTGAGCTTGTGTTAATGCTGGAGTATTACTAGCATAAGGTAAACGACGCCATTTTAAACATTTATCACATTGAATAAGCATTGGCACAGCTGCTTGACGTCGTTTAACAACTTCAAGATCATTTGATGGTGGTCGATCAAGTTGATCATCTCGATAACCTAGAAAAATATTTAAAATATGAAGAAATAAAAATAGTGACAAAAAAAAATGAATATTTTTACCATAAGTTTCCCAAAATTCTTTAACATAATTTTCAATGCCAGCATCAGACCAATATTGTCGCATATATTCACCCATATTTTTCAATAAAAAATGATATTCTTTTTCATCAGCAAATGATTGTTTATTATGTGTTGGCTCAAGTACTATTGATGGAATATCAACAACACCAACAACACCACGACAATATCTATTAGAGAAAATAATGATTCAATCTAACCGAAAAGAAACATAAGAAACTAAATAAAACAAAAACAGTTTTTTTTTTGTATTGTTGTAATTCAATTATTAGGATATCGCTTTCTTTTTCACTGAGGAAGAAATGTTCGTAAGTGTCAAAGCACTTTCCACTTGAGATTATTGTCATGTGATGGATCTTGATGAGTAGTGAATAAGTCTGTTGATAGAATCTAGATGATTAAATTATGGTATTCACATTTTTAATGAATTCTTGTTTTGGGCTATTTTTCAAAACAAGGACATATTTATACACGTTTATATCTCCATTAAGATGTGCTTGTTTCGGACACAAACTTTAATCATCTAGATCTCATGTGATTCTAAGCTCATAGATCGACAAGTTTATATTGAAAAAATAAGCGCAAATCGACTTTTTCATTATGCATCAAGATTTATTGCATAGCAATAATCACACACAAATGAAAAGTGATTTGATAATTGTAAACGTCTCCTTGTGAGACTAAATAAAATGTACATTCCTCTTGTTTTCTCATGCAAACTAAAACTATGTGTAAATTGAGTCGTTAAATCGATAATTACTTTTCATACTATAATGTATTGTATATTTAGATAACATGGTGATATGCTTCTATATCACTAACTAATTGAGTTATGCCTGTCTTTTCTTTTTTGGCTAAGTGCAAATGTTATACAACATTGAATACATTAACTTACACAGTCTTTTTATTAGGTTGTCCAAGTTTTTCATACATTTTAATAAGTCTACCACAATTATAAACAAAAACTCCATCAGATGCTCGATTTTGAATATTTAAACCAAAAATAAAAGTTAATGTTTTAGTTGTATTCATTTCAGATTTTTTTCTTGAAAGACCATTACGTAAACGTACTGTCATATCTTTTAATTCAGCTGCAGTAACTTGTAATTTTCGTAAACGTGAACGTTCTTCAATTGATGTTGTTACACCAATTGTTTGTTGAATATGATGAACTTGTGAATCAGCTTCACGTTTACGTTCTTCTAATGATTCAAGTTCTTTTTCACATTTTTTTATTTCTTGTTCTGAACGTGTTTTAAAACGTGTAGATTTAAATTGATATTGTCGAGGTTTATATAATGTATGTGGTAATTTTTTTGTTATAACACGTCGTCGTTGAATTCCTATACGCATACGTGGTTCATAATAAAGTATAGAAACATAAGCACGAAGTGAACGATATTCAAGAGGAATACTAAAAAAAAAGCAAAATAAAATAACAATGAAAATTTATTTATTTTCTTTTTAGAATTGTTTACCTGTCATCATCATCATCAAATAAATTTCGTCGATTTTTAGAATCAATTAAAATATCATATGGATCAGTTTTAATATCAAGTTCAGGTTCACCAGTATCAGATAATTTAACATTATATAAAACAATTAATGTACCACTTGATGATGTTATTAAATTAAATTGTTTGAATAAATCATCTATTGTTTTAAATGGTGAATATTTGTTTATTAAACGCATTTCAAGTTCATGTTTTATTTTATCATATGTATATGTACGTGTACCATTTAATTGTTGATAATCCGTATTTTGAATTGGTTGTTGTGTATGTAAATCAAAACATGGCATTGGACATATTACTTGGGAAATATGTTCTTCTTGATGAAATGAACGTGAAAGAAATAAACATGTACCAATATTATCTTTTTTTGTAAATAATATAAAGTCATTAGCAATACGCATAGCACCTGATTTTAAACCATTACCATATTGACCGATTTGATTGGAATCTGGAGCATGACGTTTAGCTGATTTACCAAATACGATTACATTGAATACATCGTCTAAGAAATAGAAAAAACTATGAATAAGAATAGTTATACTTTCTATATTTAAAATAACAACGAAATTAAGATATTGTATCATATAAAATAAATCACATGATACTTGAAGAACATATCTTATTTGATAAACTTACCATAATGCATGCCACAACCATCATCCAAAAAAGCCAAATAAAAACCTCCACGTAAAGATGGATCTTTACATGTATAAATATCAAGATTTCTTGCACCAGCATCACGTGAATTATCAACTAATTCAGCTAATGCTCCAAAAAGAAATGTATGTGTTGTTGAATTTGTATGCAAATATTCAAAGCTCAATTGAGCTTTATTTAAACAATCGTATTGATCCATTATTTCATGATTATAATTATCGAAAAAAAAAAAAGAAAAAGAAATCAAAATAAAAAAAAAAAAAGGAATGATTATATGTCATGATTAAACAAAAATATTTAGACAAATATATATATGAACAAATTCATTCAAAAAAAACGTAAAGCAATCATTAAAAAAAAAAAGCAAGAACATTCAAAGGAGGAAAAAGAAAAGCCAAGACGATTTAGTGTGAATAATCCAGATCGAATGCATAGGTTGCTTTTTTATGCATGATTAATTGGTTGTCAACAAAATAAAAACTATCAGATTTTGTTTCATATGGATGTTCGATCATATCTTTGACTAGAATAAATAAATAAATAAGTAAATAAGAAAATATTAAACGAATTATTTACTTTGTTTAGAATCCATAGTAGGCATATCATATATATGTTCAATTGAATTTGTTGTATTCGGTGGACAAAAACCAAAATCAAAATCAAATGATTTAATAAGTTGATCACGAAAAAAATGACGTTCAATCATTCGAAAAGATTTTACTTCACGATCGCCAACTTTAAAACCAACTCTGAAAGAAAAAAAAACGTTCATCCATTCTGTAAAGGAAATTTCTTTTTTTTTTTTCTTTTATATATTAAATAAGTAAAAGAAAACTATTACATTGGTTGCTAAGAAGAAATATATTGATTTTGTTTAAAATGATCTTATTATTATATAGAACGGAGAAGTCATATTAGAACATGCCGAGTTTAGAAAGCAAATATTAAAATAGAGGTCGCTGAAATTTATTATTTGAATTTAATAAAGATAAATTTATAATTAACAAATGTTTTCATTTGTATTAATGTTAATAATAATGAAAATAAAATATTGACATGACGTGATTCAATCTTGTAATTGAAGTACACATATGGTAAAGATTCAGAAAGTCATTCTAAGTTTTAAATGTATATTCGAGGAATAATACTAAATAAACTATCGACGGTATAACGAGAACAGAATCATAGGGAATATTTGTTCATCTGTAATCTCTCCTTCATTTAATGTCGAGAAATAGTTTGAAACTTTCAGAAAACAAATACGAAGAATCACAGATGTTGACTATGAAAAATTTATTTAAAATGTCTAACTTTTCCGAAGAGAAAATATAAAATGTAAGATATCTTCATCTTGCCAAAGAATATTATCAAGTAATTGTATGCAAGAGGAAATAGAAAACATCACATAATGCATCTTCGGTAGGACAACCATGTCACCCAATTCGATCATAATCCAATAAAGTTTTGGTTTAGTAGTGAAATTTGTCGTGATTTTCCATTATTATTCATAGTTACCAGAAGAATACATTACCATAACAGTGACCAGTGCTTCACCGGGAAGATTATTTAGCGCAGTTGGATTGGTACTGATTCGGAGATGAACATGTTTATTACCAAGTCAAATCAATAACATATTATTTATTCATTCAAGAAAAAGTAATAAAAAGAAAATTTTTCATTTCTCATTATCTATTGATTACATTTTGAATTCGGTATTTTTATGTTTGTTTTGTTCATCTTATAGATATATATTGTTATTCATTTCATTTCAACTGAAAAACATGTGATAAGGTTTATCAACATGTTTATATTGTAAAGAATTCTTGTATAAATAGCACGTGTCTGACATTTGACATCGTACCTAATATGCAAACAAGTTTTTTTGTCCTTGTCAAAAAAAACAACAATGAAAAGATTTCCTTGTAGACTGAACTCAAGATGGCACATTGTCCTGCTTGGATAAACATCTTGATGCTCTACTCTAAGTTCTTCAATACAAGATGACTGAGTGATTGATTACAAAATTAGTTCATAAATACAAAATTAATCTTGAAAAATCGATTTATCGTACAGAAAATTATTTTATTTTATTATACTTACAAAGCGCCAACTTGTTTAAGTTTAAGAAATGTTGGTGGAAACCGATATTGAACAAAACGGCCAGCTGCTGGATCAAGTTCATCCATTGGCTCATCATCGTCTAATATACAAAACACAATTGAATAGAAAACAAATCAAACAAAATATATACCAGATTCTCGTTGAACTTCAAATAGAACCTTATTTGTTTTCATATCACGAATTCGAAAATGAATAAAATCAATTTTATAGATATTTTCATCTGTTTCCGTTAGATAATCTAAAATAAACATACAGGTTCTCTAAATCTTTATAAAAACTCTTAGTTTTTTTTTTTTTTTTTTAAATACCTTTCGTAGGTTTTTTTAAACGAAGTACATCGCTTACATTAATCGGTGTATCTTTTTTCTTTAATTCTTCCTCAGTAATTGGTGTATCATTTGTACTATTAGCTGATGCTGGACTGGCTGCAGGTTTTGATTTCGATGATGATACTGTTTTAGTTGCCATCGAAACAAATTCTAAACGAGAAGAATAAAGCAATAACTTCCGGTTATTTTTAAGAGCCATAAGTTTCCTTCTTTTTTCCTTCAGAAGCAAAAAAAAAGAACACCAACTGTACAATACGGTATGTGCAAAGGAAGAATATACACAAAAACAACAACGAGAAAAAAAAAAAACAACAACAACAAAGCCGATAAAAAGTCTTTCGATTATTTATAGACACAAAAAAAGTCGACTATTCTTTGTCATATATTAAACGTTGAAAGAAAAGAACGCATAATGAAATAAATGGTAGTTTTGTTTTCAAAAACGATAAATAATGAAGAAAGAGAACGAAGAACGCAAACAATTAATCGTAGCAACACATTGTTATAATAAATGTGTAGCAATAAAATTACACAACAAAAAAAAAAATACAAAGAAGAAGAAAAAAAAAGAAAGAAAAAGAAGGTTGTTAAGGTGTTTTTTTTTTCTTTGCTTAATGATCAATCGATGATTCAGATTTTGCAGTTAATATTCGCACCGGCCTAGAAAAGATTAAAACCATTAAGAATTCCTATTGTAATCAGTTATTCAAAAACAAATATGATTTTATTTTTACTCGATATATTAACAATAGCATTCAATAGTCTTATTAAGATAAGACAATTTCATTCTATTTGAATATTCATATAGATTATTCAAAAAAACACAAGTACGTAACATTCAGAAAATTCCACTAAACAAGGTAAATTTTTACGATAGATCATAAGAGTGAAAAAAAAAATTCTTAAAATGTGATGTTAAAATTAATTAAATTCAACAGTAAGTCAATCATCTTTCATCATGAAACAAAAAAATTTCTCCTATGTAATTTTATTCAAAAGCTTCTAACAATGTTTGTTGCTTACAAAAAAGTTGTTATTTTTATAATAGAATTCATTGAATATGAAAATTATGTCGAAATTCTTTCGTCTATAGATGTGTGAAATCAAGTTTTTTGTTTCGAATCTTGGTAACTTCTTCTCTAGTGGTCTTGATCTCGATCTAGAGAAAACTATTCCAGAATTTATTCACATCACATCTAAAATAATTCTTTAATACTCGTTTTTTTTTATTTATTTAGTCGACGACTAGCCTTTTTTAAGTTATTTCTTTTGAATCCTATTCTGATTCATAAGATAATTTGCTTAAAATTATAGAATATTTTACTATAAACTTTAGTTTCGGCTTGGCAACCCTGTAAGGACAGTATTTAACATTTTCGCTCAAAAAAAAAGTTAATTTTCGTCAGAAAAATTGAAATTGAGATAAACGCAAGGGAAGATAGCATCAGGTATAATCTTTGATAAATGACGTGATTTTTTATTTGGTAACTCGTTTTTTTTTTGTCAAAATTTTTGATCATTTATCTGCTTGAAAAATATGCATTTTTGATTCCGCTACGTAAACGTCTGTGCGGATCTTCATTCTAGATATTGAATTATTAATTTGTTTGATAGAGCATGTCAAGATGCAGAACATAACAGAGTTCCTTTGTTTTAATTGAGCTTTGTCATTATTATATAAAAGAGTACTTTTATAATTACAGTACAATTATTTTGAGACTTTGAGCCTTTCATGCCTTTTCTCCTTCTAAAAAAAAGTAAGAATTGAAAATATGATCTATTTTTGACCGTTGCTTGTTGAATATATCCCTCGAATGTCATGGTAAAGGACTGCAAATTTTATGCGATTTAAATCAAGAAAATTAAATCTTATTATCTGAAATCTTAGTTAATAAACATACTTGATAACATTATTTGTCGATTCATTTGATGTTGTCGATATCGTACGAGGAAGAAATTGTTCTTTTTCAACTATTTCTTCAATATGTTTATTTAATTCAGCCAATTTTGGATCATGTTCATCACGTGGCTTACCTATTTTTACACATCAATATAATCAAAACTGAAAATCTTATTTTATTTACCTAATCCAAATATATTGATGTTTCGTGCTGCTGGTTCGACTGATGGTTTCTCATCTACTGATGGTGACACTTTTTGTGAACGAGGTAATAATTGTAAACGTGGTCGATTTTCTATATTAAACGAAATAAATAAATAAATAAATGACTCAAAATAATCTATTGTCTTTTTAATAATACCAGATGATATTGTATTCATATTCGTATCAGGTAAACTATTATTATTAGTTGTTGATGTTAAACGTTTTCCATCTCCTCTATAGGATTGTTCATCTTGATAATTTCGATTATTGGAATTTGTTTTTTGTCGAGATCCTAATGATATTTGATTTCGATTCTGATGATATGATAAACCCATATGAAGAGATGATGATGGTACTTGAGAATTCTGAGGATGATAATATTGTTGAGATTGATTTGAATATGATGATGGCATTTGATCATAATATAGACGATCGTCATTTGATATTTGTGATGATGGTAATCCACGAGAATTACGTCCACGCATTGATTGATTACCCATTAAACGCGAAGACGTATGCAATTTTGAAGTTTTATCACAAACAAACTATAGAAATGATATTCATTTTGTTGGAATGTTTTTTTTTTTTAAATCGAAAAAGAAAAGCGAAGAACACAAAGTTCATACTTGAATATCATCAACATCATCATTAGTTAAAGTATTCTTAAGATTTGATGGTGATGATGATGATGTTTCAACAACAGAGTCATCCATAGGACAATCAGCCCAATTTCGTGTTTGTTGTCTTGTCATGGTTGTTATATTAATATGTTCATGATTTTCATTATCATCTGATGTAATAAAAACATCATCAGATACTTTACGTGATGTTGGTGGTGTTTGTTCTTTATCTGCTTGAGATTGTCGTTCATTAATTTGATGTAAATTTTTTTGTGCTTTTGAATTATCTTGATTATAATAATCTAATAAGAAAAAAAGAATGTTTTTGTTTTGTTCTATTTAATTCATAAAAAAAAAATTTAATAGCACTCAATTAACAAGAAGAAAAAATTCTAGGTAAGATTAAAGAAGTATCGAGGATGGATGAATAAAAATATAGAAAAAATCATCATATTGTTTGATCACTTATTATTAAAAAAAGAAACTTCTTTTACCATCATTATATCCATTTTCATTGTAACCATCATTAATATCTTGAGTAATTTTTTGTTGATCGTTATTACCTTGTCCATCATGAGAAAATCCACCACCGGATCGATTATTATTATTATTATGGCCTGATGATTGTTGACGAGGACCATTGCGTGATCCAAAACCAGCTAATAGAAAAAAATTAAATTATCTTTCATATAAATGATGATAATAGCATTTACATTTATTTCGAAATCCTTCTGATTTTGTTTCACCAAGTGTTCGAGTTGCAACATCAATTCGAATAGGTTGATCATTAATACACTAAAATGTATCGCAAAAAAAAATTAATTTTTATTTATTTCTATAATAATTATGTACCGTTCCATCCAATGCGATGGCACTACGTAACGAATCCGCATCCTCAAAATCAACATAAGCAAAGCCTTTTAATTAATTAAAACAAAAAACATATGTTAGTATTTAATTTTAAATCAAGCATGAATTTATCACAAAAAAAAAAGGAGCAATCAATTACAAAATAAATACCTCGAAATCGATCGGTTTGTCGATCACGTATTAATCGAACTTGTTTTACTTTAAGACCAACAAATAAATAATGTTCAAAATCACCTTGTACCATTGTATCTGGTGCATTACCAATATAAGCTGTAAATGGAGGTTCACTTGGTATTACATGATTACGTACAGGACCACCACGTTTATTATTTCTATTGTTATTTCTAAAGAAATTTATTTCAATCATAGCTTTCGGATGTGGGAGGGGTGGGTACTGCTTATTTTTCAGGTCGTGTCTGCAAAAATTTCGAACTGTTGTCTGAAATTTATCTGTCAAATTTTTAGTTTCTCTCCACTTCAAGCAACTATCGAGAGTACTGATTTTAATATTGAAAATTTTTTTTTTTTTTTTAGATATAAAACAAAAGAAAACTGATGAACATTATTTTAATCTTTTTCGTATAAAATTTCTTTTCTATTACATACCCATAATTATTATAATTACCACCGTAATTTCGTCTTAAATCTCTGCTGTGCATAGAGATAATAATAAACAATATTAAGATGTTTTGTTGTGCTTTCTTTTTTCTTTGTCTATATCAAGACCCAAACGAAATTGTGTTCGGGTCTAAATGTAATAAAAAAAAAGAAAAATGGTTCTTTTTTTTCTAAAAAAAAACAAAACCAAAACAAGAAATGAACAATCATAAAAGGAACCGTTATAAAAAGGGTTTTTTGCCTTGTTAAATATGTTGTACATTTGTTGTTTGTTTCATGTTCACGTTAAAAAAAAAAAAGAAAAAGAGGACATCTAAACAATCCAACAGAAAAGTTTGACGGAAAAAAGAAGAGAACTTGGATTTACATTAAAAGAGAAAAGAAAGGAACGACAACGATGCGTTTATATGTTGATATATATGTGTGTGTAATGGTTGTTTTTTGTTTTCTGTGAGACAAAGAATAGTGCAAACTTAATGTAAAAAAAAAGAAGAAGAAAACACGCTCAACAACAACAAGACCAGACAAGTTAGAGGGATATGAGAAAATGGATAAGGATAGAAAGGGCTGTGCCCAGTGTGAAAGAGAACAAAGAAAGAATCAAATCACAGTTACAAGTTAGAGACACTCTCACACACGTTAGTAGTTTCATCAGCAATAATAATAAAAAAAAAAAAGAAGAGAAGGAAGAAGAGAAAAAATCAACACAATTCATGTGCTGTTCAATAGGTCGTTCAATATTTATTGAAACGAACGTTGTTGGCTTTGTTGATTATTATAAACATTGCCACTAGCACGTTGTTGTTTATTCACACCTTGATGTTGACCAACTGATTGGGGTGGAACTTGTTGAGGTTGTGCTGATACGGCATACATATAATGTGTTTCTTTATTTGATGATGATGATGAATTACGACCATAATAATCATCATTACCACCAATACTTGATGATGAATTATTCTGATTATATTGTTGACCTTGTTGTTTAGAAGCTTGTTGCTGTTGTTGAGCCATAGCTGTTGCTGGTTGAGCATATATCATTTGAGGACCTAATAAAACAAAAAGGAAAAGATTTTTACTATAGATTCGAATAGAATAAGAGGAAGTGTTTTATTAGACGAAGTAGTATATATTGATCTATGAGAATTAGTCACAACGTTGTACCAATCAAGGACAAAGAACATACAATATTAATATCAACACGAATACTTGTGAACTCGTCTAATTCTGTATGAAATGTCATATGAGAGCAATTAGTAGTCACTTTGAAAAATTCTTATAATCCATAATAATTTTTTTTTTTGAATTCTATATGCTGCGCATTTCGCAATTTTACAATGAATATAGTCTTCATCATATTGTAACATCACGATAAATTCAAAAAGTGAATGTCAACATTCAGTTATCGTTTACCGATGAGATATCATCTACTTATCCAATCCATGGGACACATCTTCATATTTCTCATGCCATCTTCACCATCACATTGTGCTGTATGTGCAAATAAAGGTTTGTGGGCAGTGCAAAAAAAATTAAATTTTTGTCAAACATGCGAATCATTATCTCGCTTTTACGAAATATATATATATACGTACCAGGTGAATAACTTGGTCCACTAGCTGAATGTCCAAGAAAATAATTTAATTGAGCTGGCGAATGTGCTGCTTGTGGACCTTGTTGTTGACTGTTCGATTGTTGAATAGCATATTGTTGATACTGTTGTAATAATAAGAGATTTTCATTAATTGGAGCTCGATAACTAAGACAAAAAGAGAAAAAATAAAAGTTTAAAAATAAAAGAAAATCTTAATCTTTGATTTTATTATTTATACTTCATTGTTTTATTATCATTATTATTATGTGTTTGATGTTGTTGATTTTGTTGTTGAACAGGTGGTGTTACTGAACCATATGTACCTGATGGTGATTGTGCTTGTTGTGGATTAGTTAACTGCATAAATGGATTTTGAAATAAATGTTCAGCATCATATGGTGTTGAATAAGTTGTTGCACCTGTTTGTTGTTGTCCACCAACTGATGGTGGAACTCCATATGTTGTCGAATAAGCTGTTGAATATGCTGGTTGTGTTGGTGGTGCCGTCGAAAGAAACATGCCTGGTGGAACAGCTGGTCCTTTTTTTGGAGCTGTAGTTACTGTCGTTGATGTTGATGAAGGTGGTACAGCTGATGATGATGTTAATGGTGGCGTTTGTACATTAGTAGATGATTGTTGTCGATTTGATGATAGTTGTTGTTGTTGTTGTGGTGGTGGAGCTGGTTGTGAAACAAGATAACGTGGTTGAGTTTGCTGTTGTGGTGGTTGTTGTTGATTCATTGTTGCTGCCATAAAATATGATGCATTAAAATCCATTGATGGCAATTGAAATGGTGTTGGATCGTATGAAGTATCCAATGGCACCGGCTATTAAAGAAAAAAAAAAGCAATGAATAATAATCATTGGTTTATTATTTTTAAATCTATATACCTCTTGTTGTTGTTGATGATGAAAAAGTATAGATTGTAAAAGTAAATTTGGTGGATTCATTTGATGTTGTTGATGATGCATAGCATATTGCTGTGGTACAACAGGTTTCATTGTCATTGAAGGCTGTTGTTGCTGTTGAATATGTGGTGGTAATATACGTTGTTGACTTACAATCGGTTGTTGTTGTTGTTGCTCGGATGAACGAGTTGAATTAGTCTTTGTTGTTGGTGAAACAAAAGAAGATTGTTCAGTCGATTGATGTTGTACCGTTGTCGTTGCTGATCGTTGAGGATTTTGAACTGATGATGAACTAGTCTTTTGTTTTGTTACTGATGTTATTGGTTCAGCATGTGAATAAAATGCAGATGACGATGAAGATGATGTCGGTACAGATACATTTTTTGATGATGTATCTTCAAATGGTTCACCCAAATTACCGAATTGTACATCAATTTTATTAATTCCGCCATCAAAACGGTCCGAAAAAATCACCGGTTGATGTGGTATACGTGGTGGTGGTGTTACTTTTGCATTGAAACTTTGTCCAGTTGATTTTGATGATATTATATTCGATTTTTGTTGTTGTCCTATTTGTTGATCACATATTAATGGTTTTAAATCCATTAATGGTTTAGGTGGTGAAATATTTTGCTGTTGATGTTGATGATGAGGATGATGATGATGTGATTGACCAATACCAATAACATTTTTGATCTGACGAGTTGCTTCTACTGGATCAAATTCATTTTTCGATTTTTGTTGAGTATTTACTTCAGAAACATTATTTACAGTCGATGTTCCTGATAATAAATTTTGACCATTGAGCACTAGAAAATTTAAAATAAAAGCAAAATGATTTCTTCTTCTTTTTTTCTCTTAGAAAGTTAAATAACATTTATTACTTTCAGATGGAACATGAGATGTATTGTTATTGTCTGAATTTGCAGATTGTTCATCATCTTTTGTTGATCTTGAATAAATTAATGTTTCACCATTCCAATTACCAACATCCCATTGTTGTTGTTGTTTACCACCACCTCGTCGATTTGTATATGATGCATCAGTAAAACGTTGTGTCGTATCTGACGTTGTTGAAATATCAATATTTGAATCTTGTGGCTGTTGTTCATATTGATGTTGTTGATAATTTCTATCATTTCCCCGATGACTACCTCGATTACTGCCACGATAACGACCTCGATAACCACTTCCACCTCGATATCTTTGTTGCGGTATATAATTATCATTTTGAGAATCACCTCCATTTTGTTGCTGTTGAAGTCTCGATCGACCAGCACCACCACCACGAGATTTTCCTCGATAAGTAGAACCATCTAAGAATAATTTTTTTAAAATGTATATTATAAATTTTTTTTACCATTGCCTCGTTGTTGTACATTCTCATCTGTTTCTCCTCCATGTCCATTTTTGGTTGATGCAATCTTTTGTTGTTGTTTTTTAGCCGTTTTATGATTTGTTGCTGTACGCCATTCACTAGCTATATCATGACCTTTTTCAATAAGTAATGCAACAGTTCTTTCAAAATCATAATCACAATCAAATAGAGCTAATAAAGCATCATCTGAATTGGAATTCGCTACAACATCAAGAACTTTTCGAACAATCTCTTGTACTTCAGGTTGATCATGTTTTTTATCATCAATTAATTGTGCAAGACGAATTTGTTCTGGAGTTGGCTGATATTGTTGCGTGCTTACGGCACCACTGGCCGCTGCGACGCTCATTCTTCTATATTAATACACACACACGCACACAGCACACAATAATACAGTGGGAAAAGAAAATGTGTAAAAAAAACACGAAGATTGAAACGTGTTTTTTTTTTTTTTTTAGAAAATAGACAAATGTTTTATTGGAAGAGAAAGCAGGGAATAGAATAATCTAAAATATAAGAAAAATAAATTTTTTGTTTCTAAATCCAATATATAAGAATAAAATGAGTAATAATAACAATCACTATCGTTTACTTTTTTATTTTCTAATGAGGACAACTTTAATTCCATATTTTATCTACTAGACGCCATTTATATTTTACATAGTCTCTACATTGATCATGAAAATAATATAAACAAAAAACAAGAAACTATACTTTTAATATAGAAAAATAATGTTTTTGTTTTATTTAACATATGAAAACTTTTATTCAAATATAATTAGAACATAATATTAATTTGTATTTTGAAAAAAAAAAAAACTGATGACTTAATGCATGATTGCTTTCAAATGATGTAGATGTCGGTAAAAACGAACAAGAATTCTAGTTTCTTTTTGTCCTTGATCACATCGCAAAATCTCAAAACATTGAAATGCAAGCACATCTTTCTTTTCATTAGCAAACTAATACAATTGTCATAACAATATAATTAATGAAATATTATTTATTTTAAGAAGATTGACCATAGATACTGTTCTATTATCAACTTAGATTGATGTCAAAGAGCAAATCATTCCATCATGAAATAAGTTAATAGAAATGAATGTTGAGACAAAAACAATGAATTTATTGATTAGATATTTAATTATTGATCTGTCAA